GTTCAGGGCAGCGACAAGGGTCACAGAGGATCTAGGCTTTGTGAAATTGTTTCCATTTCCATGTTTTGGCATCGAAATATGAAGCAGAGCGGGGTGCTAGTTTGGCGGACCTGTTACTACCTGCCCGAATTCGATGTGAGCAACACGCACGGACCAGGCGCTTGGGTGGTGTGTAGCCAGTAGCTGACTGTAGCTGACCAATGGCCGCAGCGCCGGTTGGCAGGAGTCGGCGGCCGCCATTTCTGGACGGCGGGGTGGACGGTGGCCCGGTGATGTGACACCGTCTCCGCGACTGCACATAGTGGGTCAAAACGCTGGATTTGGGCAGAATCATGACCGCCACCTTTCCCAAAGTGGAGATGTTATGGATCCTGCTTGGCTTGGAAGCCGGCAACGTATCCGCGGCATCATTCTCGGGCGGGTCAGAGTGGGGCTTCCGGGGGTGCATTTAAGCACAGCCGAGAGTTGGACGCCAGATGAGTGATGCTGACGTGCAGTTAGACAACTGGGGTGTAGCTGTATAAGAAAGTCGGACAGGCTCCCAAGAGTTGTTAACCTCCGCGTCGTCGAACCGGACGCGGCACCCTCGCTGGCCCACTTCGGCAACGGGCATCACCACGCCGGCATGACCGCGACGACCAACACTTGAGCATTGCACATAGTTGCGGGGCACTGCACACAACTGCGGAACAATGACACATAGTTGCGTAGCAATGGCACATGGTGCCGCGCACTGCACATACTTACATATGTAACTCGTCGCGAACAAACAGGAAATGGACCGAATATGACTCTGCTAGGGAAGGGTTCACAGCATTTTGTCTTCATGTACAACTCGGCGCGCCAAGCGACCGGCCCTGGCCCACCTCCAGTCACCTCCCGGCCGACCGTTACAACACCCGGTCCACTGTTGATCGGACCCAGCACAATAGCAGCCTACATTACATCCTGTGTAGCAGAGATTGCATTACACAATACATGTATAGACTGAAGCAGTGAGAGATGGTATCCATTAGCCGCCACCAAAGCGGCAGACTCAATTTTGTGATTGGACATGACGGTGCGGGCACGAACCCTGGGGTGTGCTTCCCGTATTAGCATGTAGCACCAGCCTCCTTCGTCGACACAAAACCCTCTGTCCTGGGCAGTTCTATATTCGTTGGTCTACAGTCCCACGTATTAAATATTAATACCGTTTGGCGTTTACAGTACAGTATCAGTAAATAGTTCTTATGTGCACTTCTTGCTTCCTCTTTCGGGAAACTCTCTTCAAAAAAAAATTGAGACCCACATAGTGTTGATTCCGAGATGCTCGCACGGCTTACTTTTGAACACAGGAACTGGACTTCCGGAATTTGCCGGGATCCGGACGTGGCGATGCGCCTTCGGCTTTCGCAACCTTGACCATGCACCCTGCAACGCCTTGCCCCTCCGCTCTCTTTGGGTTACATTTGGGTTCCACGATTCACAACTTCAGCCAAGAAATTTTTAAAGCCTGAGCAGTTGGCGCGAATGCATTGTACAATTGTGGACATCTTGAACAATTGAGGTGGCTACCGACTAAGTGCAAAACTTCGCAGCCTATAACTAATGGGGTAACTCATTCAAACAGGACATCACGCTCTGCACTAACTAAAGCACATCCGGGTCACTTTGACCATCGGCTAAAATTTCTTTGATCATGCGATACATCCCAAAGTTTTCCGTCCTCCACGTCTCTCCATGGGGGAAAATCTTTTTCCGTACTTTGTTCATCAACGGAATCAAAGGCCTATAGAAAGGCGTAAAGTTGTCACCCGCGATCTTTAAAAATATGCTCTCATCACCTATTGTACCAACTTTTAGTTGAACTAACCTGCTGTCCTTCTCATAGTTCCAGCTATCGAACTCAGTAGAACCTATATCTTTACCCGGACCATCGTAATGGATACAAATCCAAAAGAGAACCCAGAAAAAAGACTCTAGGTCGTGCATAAAGGAATGCTCATCACCGAGAAGTGCCCCGATGGCCATGAACGCTCTGGTACCGGTCTTCTCCTTCGCCCCAGTCGCGTCTACCCGCGGCACCCTAATTGCAAGATCAAGGTCGATCAAAAAGGCTTTGTCTTTATCTTCGTCTATCATGAGATTATTGATTGAGATATCTCTGTGCAGAAAACCAGCTTTAAGCAGTGATTCGTGACCTTCAATGTAGCGTTCCATAGCTGCAAGTAGGGCTATTCGGGAGCTTGCTTCGTATAGTGGAACCCCATAATCACAAAGAATGATCCGCCGATGTACTCGATTTGACAACTGCTCCATTCCGGCTTTTGTAGGAGATGTTGAGATGGAGCGCTTCCGAGGTGGCAACGGCAAGCTGGTTTCGCTAGATGGCCGCTTGACGCCGATGCTACTGCTGTGGCTTTGACCCGGTGTGCTGGTCGCGCTTGCATTGGAAGTTGACTTATTCGAGCGACGAAATCGCGTATTAACGGCTTCTGAAAGGTCTAGCCCTTTTCTAATATTCGCTAAAACGTCATCGTCCTTATCACCAACGCGAACTGTAGTATGGTAGTAGTATCGGGCAACATTAATAACTCCTCTCTCTGTCGCCTCCTGGAGTAATTCTCCTTCTTCCGCACGTTCTGTGTATTGCCAGGAGTCTTTAACAACGAGCGCAGTTTGCGGCTCTTGGTCAGCATAGGCTAGCCAACAGGTAGTCGCCCGACCAGCAATGCACCGTGCCCTCCTCAAAACTTTCTTCAGGATAATGTGCTGTTTCTGGCCGTCTCGTTCGATTTCAATGTATCGCTCGTCGCCACGTGTGATTATTGTAGGATCAAATCCTAGGTCCCGCTCGCTCATCCAAAGAAACCCTAAAATTGTCGATACAAATAGCTGCCCCTGTTTGTTGATGTCAAACTGCTCGGAGGCGATGCCCCCCAGTCGATCAAATTCCCATATCCTCATCAGGGATCCGCAAAGAGTGAAACCCAGTACAAAACGACGCGTGTCTTGTGCAGCCAAAACCTCCCTCGCGTATCTGCCAAGGTCTAGCCATGCTTTCGCTGCGGTATCTGCTGATGGATTACTTTTGAGCTCTCCGGGGACGAGTATCTGTGACCAGTGACATCGGGAGCCTTTCCCAGCCTCTGGATCGCTGACGAAACCAATGTCCATCTTGCGCTCGCCAGTAGAACCTAGTATTGGCTTGCTAGGTTGCGCAACAGGCCTTCGACAAGTCTGAGGGGGGTTGTGAGATTGTGCAAGGGCCATCAGCTTTGTCGTTACATCTGTAAACCACTGTAGAACATCATCTTGATTGGCGTCATTTGGCCATCCCGCCCAACCGTCTTGAAAAAGTGGATCATTGCCACTGGTGCAGCTCTGGAAAACAGCTTCTGCTGCCGTTTCTAGACCCTCAATGCTCCCAAAGAACGTATCTTGGAAGCTCGAAAGTCCAACATGTAGTGGACCAAGCTCCTCCTTAAGGACTCGGTCGACATCTCGTCGATATTCAGACGAGTTAGCGAAGCTACTTGTGTTGTGTCGCCACGGGGTTTGTTGGAAGGAAGACACTATCGGTCGAGGAGGTGGTGTAGATTCGAGGGCGGCCTTAGCAACTAGATCCCATATCAGCTCATCGCGTGGACTATCAGCAAGCGCCGCCTTGAGAAGTGGTTTGATGCGGTCGAAATCGAAATCGTCGGCAGTGGCAATAGAGATTAGGCGCAAAATGTCGTCTCGAACCGTACGACGTGCCAATGTTTTTGATCGCAGAAGGCGGGACACGGGGAGAATTCGAAGAGATGATAAAAGACTAAATAAGACGTCTTGCACATCTTTACGACGGGTTAATGATGCCTTCGTACAAATATTGATGAAAACTCACCCTCTGTGGTAAGCTGATCGATGTCGCTGTCCGTGATTTGCCTGAAAGAGGTACGGAATGCGTCGAGGCCATTAGAAATTGGGTGGTCTTGAATCAGCTTCAATCTGACTCGATCTGACTCCGACATGGTGATGAGGATCAAGGTTCTTCGCCAATGTAATATTTCCGGCTCCAAAAGCGCGACGACGGAAGCTGCCCCAAGACACGCGAGCTGCGGTCGCTGTCGCTTGGACGGGGTAAACTCCGGAGTGTCGGGAGTACAGGGCAACGTTATCTTAGTTATGTACCCCTCATCTTACATTGGTTAAAGATACGCCACGTACTGTTATCGGGGAAAAACATATACACAACTATGTTATCCGATATTTTTGGAATTGCGTTCTGCCGCCACCCAACACACATTATGTGGCACGCACCCTGATGCCGTGCTTTGATCCTGCTATCCTCCAAAATGGCGCCTAAACTGTCAAGGATTGAGCGAAAAGAGCTCGAAAACACCATTATTAGTAAGTATAAGGGCGAGATTAAGATGACAGATGAGGAAATAGCCAAAATATTCCCTCGATGCACACCAAGAACTGTTCGCACCGCCCGCTCAAATATCATGCGACATGGCACGATTGACCGACCCCCGAAACCATTTGGCCGACCAGCAGAAGTCACGGAAAGCATGTGGATGGCCATATGGTATGAGTTAAGACGACATCCCAGCCTAAGTCAGCAAGCTCAGGCGAACTTTATTTACAAGTTATATGGCATTCGTGTATCACGATCCACGATCGGTCGAGGCGTAAAGTGGACAAAGAAGACAATGATGACTATTGCCAAAGAACGTAACCGAGATCTACGAGACGATTTTATACATAGACGGTCCCTTTTTAAACTTGAACAAATTATCTGCGTTGATGAATCCGGCGATGACCGCGAAATGGCGATACCGACCAAGGGCTATGCTCCAAAAGGCGTGACTCCCGTCCAGAGAAAGCCATTTCATCGAGGCAAAAGGGTTTCCTTCCTCCCTGCGTATACTATTCATGGGGTTATCTACTCTGAGGTATATGAAGGCACTACGGATCTGGAGCTATTCGAGTCATTTCTCGAAAATCTCTTGCCGCACTGTGGCAGGTACCCGGAACCTCGATCGGTTGTTATTATGGATAACGCAACATTCCATAATGTTTCTCTTGCGATTAAAGATTTATATTATGAAGCTGGGGTGTTAATAGTGAAGCAGTCGCCATACTCTCCAGACTTAAATCCGATTGAGTATTTCTTTGGCGCGCTTAAGAATCACATAGAAAGTCGAGCTATAGAGGATGAGGACCATATCCGCGGGGACTTAAAGAATTATTTGCGGATCATGTCAATACCCTGGGTCGAGGCGAAAGTGGCAGGAGATGGGCACGGGGACACTTTAGAAAGGCACAGTACTATATTGAAGATCCAGAATAAAGGAGAAAGGAAACACGATATCTAATTTCATAATGAGAAAGGTGCGAAAGGAAAACAGAACGGCACGCAGTTTCGTACCCGAAGACTTGAAATAAAACAGGAAAGGAAGTACCGGTACAATACAATGGGAAAAGAGACAAAAAAAAAAAAGGAAATATTTGCATATCTATAGGTGCTTGCAGAACATAATCTAATGCCGAGTAAAAACAGACGCCACCCAATAGCCTGAAACTAAAAGAAAGAAAGAAAGGAAAGAAGGAAAAAAAAGGGGACCGTATACACTACCAAACTATGTATAACCCACTCACTAGCCGACTTATGCGTTCTTGGCATGCTGCTCCTTCCGTAGTTTATAAAACCCCTTGATATCACAAACGTAATGCCACGCAACACCCTCCGGCACATCATTCTCCATGTAGTACTGGAATGCCCTCGGCTGGTTGCTCACAATCATTCCGAGGTCATATTTTCGCTCTAGATTTAGTTGCTCGATGCGTTTGTAGGACTCCTTTTCGTCGTCGCTTGCTTGGTGTATCTGCCACACATCATACGCCCTGAGGAAGTCTCGCCTAGGCTCTAGTAGAGCTATAAGTGGTGACGTAGGGAAGACTACTTCAGGAGTTGTGGGACGGCCACCAAGTGGACACGGCTGCCCATGGCAAGGGCCGGAAGATACGCTTTCCGAGTCGTGTCGTTTTCGTTTGCGTTGTTGATCTTTCATGCGCTGCTTCTCTTCGTTCTCTACCCGTAGTCGTTCGTCGGCCAGTACTATTCGACGAAAGGTTTCTGGAACATCATGGTGCCCATTCAATGTCCTCCCTGCATGTAGATGATCGGCCAAGACATCTATGTGATGAGCAAAGAGCCGAATATGTCTGCCTTCATACTGCCAGCAGTGGTCGCCGTTTTTGCATGGCGGATCCGAGCATCTTATAAGGTATTACGCCTTCGAGACGGCGACCGATCGGGTCATGGTATTTCCGGCTCCAAACCTCTCTCGTATGTTGTGTAGTTGAGCGGCAGAGGCTGCTGCGTTAGTTCTTTCTTAGCCTCTATAACTGTGTGGTCAAAGGTAATGGAAATGGTAACAACGTTACGCTTCTTGCGTTTGGTTGGTAAGCTGTTCCACTCCTTGAGCTGCGTGTCAATAGCCCGCCAGTCAATGCTGAGGGCGTCAAAGCTTAATGTAACGTTCTTGGTTCCATGATGAGTGGTTGAAAGAATAACTTCCGTGCTGCCCGCCTCGCAGGTCTTCTTCGTCTTTTCAATAGCTTTGTCCAACTTCCCTTTTAAGACATCCTTCCAGAACACTCGTACCGACGTCACTATGTCTAACTCGGAGCGTGCCACCCGCTTTCTGTTTTTAAAAGAAAGTTTCCATTGGACGTTATTCTTCGTCCGACGTGTCTGAAACTAGGTTGACGGATGGCAGAGACACAGGGCGTTTCCCAGCAGGTCTCAGACGGCTCCTTGGAGCTGGGGTCGCTGGCTTATCCTCCTCGCTTTGTGAGGTTAGACTTTGAGGACTCTGGGAGTTGGTGTCCTCACCGTTTGGCCAGTTATCACTCTGGCTCATGTTTGTCGACGCTTTGCACGGTTTTCTCTGTTGCTTGGTACGCAGTTGTTCGAACAGCTACAAAGGCACTGCACGACCTCGACCTCGACCTCGACCTCGTCCCCGTCCTCGTCCCGCCATGCCCATCCATTGCCACACCATTCCAGGCACGGTCACGTGAGTGAGCAGTTATCATGGGCGCATCAATCTTAATCACCTAAAATTGGCTCCAAAACATCGTCCATGAAGCTGTTCAGAAGTTTGAAGTTCAATATATTAATGAAAAGGAATCGTGTGGCAATCTAAATCTGAATCTTGGGGCTGATGCGGATCCCAATTTTACTTCAGGCACAATCAGGGGAAAACTCGGCCTGATTGGAATGGAGAAGCGCCTTAGATATGCGGCCTGGATCACGTTATACTAGACTGGCTTGTACTGTGCTGACTAAGAAAAGTACCGCCAAGAAAAGCTCACACTGTCGCATCGGGCAGCGGGTCTCTATGTACCTTTCGGTACTAAAGTCTACTTCTTATACAGCCAGATATTTGCGAAGCCGAGGTACTCTGATGTAGTGGAGGTACCTCCCCACTCATATTTTTAAGAGAGAAATAGTCTCAACCGGAAGCAATAAGTGCATGAAGCTTATTACTGGATTTGCCTGGCTAAAGGCAACCTTATTGCATCTTGAAGGTGCTTTGGCTAGGATATGTGTTCTCTCGTACTCCAAACCAGGTTAGCAGCAAGACTACTGCCTGGCAGCCAAGACATTGCTGTATGACTGTCGCAGATAAGGCATGATCCTTGACCAGCCACAGAACATAACACGTTACTAATAGGAATCCACTTGTGTGAGAAAATAACTGCCGGACAACAACTTTCGTGATCCGTTGTTAACACGTATAACACCTATAACACGTAAAATATGGCGGCGGGCCTTCTATGTATCCACCACCACTGGAAAATGCCATTCTACCGCACAAGGTGAGCCAAGACGTTGGATTCCGTCTGCAACACCCGCCGCCGTCCTCTTCCTAACCGTGGTGGCCCCCCAGACAGTGATGAGAGGCGGAACTTCCGCGCCAGTTGGATTCCGTCTGCAACACCCGCCGCCGTCCTCTTCCTAACCGTGGTGGCCCAGGCAGCGATGAAACTATGCCGTCCGCCCATAATGACGTTGTATCGGGCCAGACATGGAGCGATAGCATTTAGACCAGCCATTCTCTGATTAATTGCTTAGTTGGCGGACTTGTTATTCATAATACCATGTATTGTTAGGCAGACATCGTACCCTGGCATTCTCTAGGCGTTTAGATGCTTTCAGGCCCCTGAAAATATCACGAGCCCTGTCTCGAACCTTGAATATAGTGGGCATGATTTGTTCACGACTTCAATCGTTGGCTGACCGTTGACCAACGCCCTCGTCCTATACAGTGTTGCCGTGCTCACAGAAATTTTACCATCACCGAGCTTGGCACACTTACACACGCGTCGATGACGAAGGTTTCAATTAGCCAGTTCCTCACAAGACCCATTTAAGGCCTGAGGATCGACAGCCGCTACGCGTTATATAAAACTTACCAAGTACAGTACAGTACTTACATCAAGATTCCACGCGAAACAGGGATCGAGAGCCACTACACGTTATATAAAACTTACCAAGTTAAATACTTACTATACTTACTTACAACACTGCAGACTATAAATATTAATACATAACATCCGACCATGGCGCAAGAGGAGTCCGTACATACATCGATACTGGCCAGTTTCATACAGTGTGTAAGTATCATTAATGCAGGTACTTAAAACCACAACCATATTGACAGTATCTGTTCCCATGATCCCGTTCATCAGTTATTTTTGAATGTATCAGCTGGGGATCGTACCCACAGCCCAACATCATTCGTTGACGCTTCCTCCTCTATGTTGATTTTCTTCGAATACACTATGCCATCGCATCGTCGTATGGACTTTTGGGACGTTGTAATGAATAAAGGCGGCGAGCCACACCAGAAGCGCCCCCAGCGACCCCTGTTACGTGTCACACAGCGGGAGTCGAGGAGCTGTCATGTTCCCTTCCTCGACTTCTGCCCCAGGCCGCAGACGAGGTGAAAAAGATATCGTCAGCACCCAAGCAGGTCGAGTCTTGCTCTCGAGTGTCTTCAACTTCTACGGCTAGTATTAATACTTTTGCGCCTTCTGATGGTGTTCATCGTCAAAAGGCCTCTGCTGGAGGCTCAAGTGAGAGGGTGGAGAGGATCAGTGCCGTCGGTCTGGGCGTGCGACGCGCCCAAAGATCTGGCCATGGGTGCAAACCGCCTCTCCTACTTCGGCCTCCCACCTTCAGGCACGTACATCAAGATTCTACGCGAAACAGCGAACTGATACGGAGACTGTTGGCGAGCGAAGCTCCGTGGCTGCATCATGGTGTTAAAGTAAACATCGACAAGCCACACCGATAGTGGGTGTCAAACGATACCACTTGGACAATGTTGTGTATATAAATGGGACCTTCGTCCTCTTGACTTGAGTAGCGATTAAGGCTAATTGGCTCTCTATAATTTTTATCACTTGACAGTGGGGTCCTAGGGGGCGGGCTTGTCAATAGTTTGGAATAAACTCCTCGCCGTCTCCACGCTTTGTCAAAATGGGGGACGCTGTTGTTCTTGGTCTCCAAAAACCTGTCCCATATCGGCCCGCTGCCAGGGCCCGTGTTGTGTCGTTATTCTTACTGGTATCTCGAA